AACTTGAAAGACGAAATTTTTATTACTCTACGATCTCATCTATCTAATTCATCTATCATCTGTCTAATTCTGTATTTCCAAATTTTGTATTCCATAAAGTTTTTCTTTGAGAGTTGGTGTTAAATAGACTTCTGTGTGGGTAACATGTGATTCAACCCAGCAAGGAAACAGATGTAGTTTTAACATTCAGATGCTGTAGGCAAATTGCCAGGTCCCATGGAATGTCAGATTGTTTTACCTCTCTCTTTCCCTTAAGGAGCTTTTTTTGTAGAATAGTTAAAGTACTCAGCTGAAAACTGAAAGGTAGGCAGTTACAAACCACAGGCTACTCTGTGGGAGAAAGATGTGGCTTGTTCTTCTATAAAGATTTCAATGAAACAACACAACACACTGCCATTGAGTCGGATCCAACTCATAGTGACCCCTCCTTGGGTTTCCAAGGTGGCATCACTACGGAAGTAAATTACCCAGTTTACCCAAACTTCCTTCTGAGGAGTGGCTGGAGGGTTTGAACAGCCATAAAGATTTATAGCCTTGGAAACCCTATGGGGGAGTTCTACTTTGCTTGTGGGTACTTCCATTTCCACCTCTGTAAAATAGAAATAATAACAAAGCCTGTCCCATGGGGTTCGTGGCAAGATTCACCTCAGGTTATGCAAAAGACTTATAATACTGAGTAAGTACTCAGAACAGGCTGACTACTGTTACTAAACAAAGTTAAACAGTTTTTCTTTCTTATTTTGTTTTGTTTTGTCTATTTGCTGTGGGGCTGCTCAGAGCCTTTAGTATGTAGATACAGCTTGTGAATCACCATGTAACCTGTCATACTTACTTAATAGGAGATCTACTAGAATATCCTAGAAATAGCATTCCTCACAATGTATTTTGGGAAATTCCAATCTAACCAATTTAAAAGAGTATCTTTTCAGAAAGAAAATTGGGGCATTGATTTGAGAAATAGAGTTATAACCCGGAAGCACGAGAGCATAATATTTTAAATGAGGACTATTCTAGAAATCATACAATTAAACTTTTTTTAAAAAAAAACAAAACACCAAGATCTATTTGTTAGTGTATTTAAAAATCTTTCTGTTTTTAAATTGTGACATACCAGTGAAACAACTCTTAATGATTCTAAGGTGGGGTCTGCAAATAATATTCTAGGCAGCAAAATGGGCTTCACCTCATTTTCTGATTAGGTGGAGTATTGTTACTTGATAAAGTTGAAGGCCTGGACTTCCTTCTTCAAAAATTCATGCCACTTATCTTAATTCTGATGCATCTGATAAGAACTTCCTCTAGGGCCAGGAAACCTTGCAAGTTTGAAATAATCTGAAAAGGGGAGGTAAAGAAGGAAGTAACTGACCAAAGTGAAAAAGAGGAAGAAGAAGAAAACCAAGCAGACTTCATACATAACCAAAAGAACAAAAGAAAGAGTGTGCCACACCACTCGTAAGGTAAGAACCTGGTTTAAGGTGTTTGGATAATGAAGACGTAGGGGAAGCAAGCTCGTTTTTAATTAATGCCTTTATATCTTATTAAAATCAATTTTTAGAAAAAAAGTTGCCTTAGGGAGCCATAGAAAAAGACAACAAATTGGTAAACTGTTTCAGAGTGATATTAAGGTCTTGTTACAAGTGAAAATTCTCAGAAGTATAAGATTATGCTTTACTCCTGTATCTGATGTGGAAAATTCCAGAAACTTATCAAGAATTTGTGATTTTAAGAGAAATAAATAATTTTTAGATAACCTCTTAGAACTGCTTTCTGAAACAAAAGCAAATAGAGTCTTCAAATGGTCAAACGTATATGTTTTCTTGTTTAAAAATATATACAAACCTATATAGATAGATAAAGAGAGAGATAGATAGATATAGATATAGTACATCTTTATTTTTCCTCTAGAGCTGTTTTGACCAAAGATGCCTTTCTTTTCCTTTAAAAAGTCTTCTTGTCTTTATCTCAGTGAACACCTCTTAGAAAAACTGTTTTAACATTGGTATGTATTGACATGTCTATACTAGATAGAAAGGCATAGGTTGTAAAGATAAATTCTCTTGGAAATGAAGACTTTATTCTTAGCTGCAGAGGAGACACTAGCTAGCTTTTCCCATAATCTACTTTTGTTGCAGGCCTCTAAACCTATTAAGCAAATTATTAATTTCAATATTTTCAAATAATATTTGAAATATATTTTTTAATAAATTTGAACTTTAAATTTGTTTCAAATATGATAGAAAATAATTACTTAAATATGTAATTATTCATACCACAAAATATCTTAAGATCCGTTTTCATACGTTTCAGAAAAGGAAATGAGGTTCTAATGATTAATTCATTTGCCAGACCTTTGTCCTTAAACACAGGACTTGTGCTGGGACTTACAGAGGAGGATCCCTATTGATTATAAATTTCTCATGATGGACCATACAGTTCTCAACCCCAGCAACACTTCCCGAAAGTTCCAAGGAGATTACATAAAAATTATCTAGATCTGGGGTGTCTCCCTATATTTTGATCAAATATGTTTTAAATATTAACTACATGTGGTATTCACTTTGATATCTCATATAAGCCAAATTGAAAATTTGCACATTGATGTATTCTAATATCATGTAAATGTTGAATACATTTAGAAAATTCACTATCACTCATAAGTACTCACTGAAGACAGGGCACAACTAGTGGGTCATCCCTCCCCCACTGCCCACCCCCATGTAATCTGAAAGCTCTTAAAGGAGCTCTGGTGGTATAGTAGTTAGGGCATTTTTGGCTGTTAAAGTGAAGGTCTGTGGTTTGAATCCACCAGCTGCCCTATGGAGAAAGATGGGGCAGTTTACTTCTGTGAAAGATTTACAACCTTGGAAAACCAGTGTGGACTGCTATGAGTCAGAATCTACTCAATGGCAGAGAGCTTGGTTTGGGGTTTGTATTATCTTTACTATTGTTGTTCTATAAGCAGATTGCTTCATTCACTCAACAGATATTTAATAAAAAGTTAATCTGTGCTTAGTGCTGATGATACAAAGATAAGTAAGGCTTGGTTCCAGCTTCAAGAACCTCAGAGATAGTCAAGCAATACAAATTTAGTGATGAATGCAGTTGATAGCCAATTACAAACATTTGAGTACAAATGTTTTTAGGAAAACATCATTTGGATCCTGATTCATCTACTTCTTGGCTGTTATGGAAGTTACAGAGCTCTTCAATCCTTTTCACAAGCACCATTACAGTATTTGAAGGAAACCTGGTTGTGGAGTGGTTAAAGAGCTAAGTTGCTAGCTAAAAGTCAGTGGTTCAAACCTACCAGCCACAGCAAGGGAGATGTGGTAGTCTGCTTCTGTAAGGATTTACAGCCTTGGAAACCCTATAGGGCAGTTCTTCTCTGTCCTGTAGGGTCACTGTGAGTCAGAATCTACTCAACCACAGTGGGTTTGTTCAGTTTTTATTATAATATAGAATGTAACTGTTTCTATGTCTAGGCTGAAAAAAAAAATACCAGTAATGATGTTTTGTTGATAAAGTCACAATAGAACATTCCACCTACTTGAACAATTCCCATTTCTCTCCCCCTAATGATTTTAAACCATTTTAAGCCATTGATTAGGAACTTACTAAAAATCTCAACTGAAAATTTTTTCTGGAGGATATTAAGAAGACTGGCAATAAGAAGGCTTTCAAAGATGCTGTATTTTACTTCAAAGAACTCTTTCCATCTTTTAGATACAAACTAAATCCTTTAGAAGACATTCTTTGAATTTTAAATAATCAACTGAAGCAATAGGATATTGAAATTTGGAGTCATTTGTCTATTTTGTTGTCATTGTTGTTGTTATTCATTCAATAAATATTGATTGAGTGCCTTTTCTTTGTTAGGTATTATGATAAAAAAAAAAAAAAAAAAAAACCTCACTGTCATGGAATCAGATCCAACTCATAGAGACCCCTCCTTGGGTTTCCTAAGTGGTATCACTATGGAAGTAGATAGACCAACCTTCCTTCCGAGGAGTGGCTGGTGGGTTTGAATCTTTTGGTGAACAGTCAAATGCCTTAGACACTACACCACCAGAGCTCTCCCTAGAATTATAAAGATGAAAGACTTGATCCCTGTCCACCATTAGATCAGGTAGGAAGATACACAATTCCCTGTAACATGAGATGATCATACTATAATAGAAAAGTGGCTCATTAATATGGAAGTAAGAGAAGAACTGGTTAAGGAAGAGTTGCTCCCTGCCCACATCTAAAGATGAACAAGGCATCATAGAGGAGCCAATGGGTAATGGAGAGGATTCTATGTGTATATATGTATACTCTTTTTCCATTCTTATGGATTCAGAGTATTGTCTTTCACCTGAAAATTGTTAGCCTCATTGTCAAAAGCATATTGAAATCCAAGTAAACAACCCCTAAGGCTTGGGCAGGGCTAGGTTCTTCTAATACTTTTTATCTCCTCACAACAGCTGGTTCTTCATTTCTTTTATGTTGAAGCAGAAACTCAGTAAATTGTGGTGTTTAATGTATTGGTAGAAATTGGTAAATTTTTAAATTATGCTGTGTAATAAATATGCAATTAATATATTTTAAAATTCGTAACAGGTTTCTGGATGGCAGATCGTTCAACCCTCCTTTGCTTGAATTTCCTACTTTGCTATTATCTTCCATTCATTTTTGCTTCATTTTGTGATTCATTGTTAGAGAGGGGCATAGAATGGAATAAAATCCCCTGTGATACTGTACAATTATACATTAATGATTGTAATGTAAGAAGCATCAGATGCAAAGAAAACTATTTTCCAAAACTAAATTTCCTCAATCTCTCCTCTAATTGCATCAGGAATTTACCAGATAATGTTCTTTTGGGCCTGAAAAGGAATTGCCTAGAAGAGTTTCCAGAATTGTTTTTGAACCATACATTGCTACAAAGAATTACATTGGACTGTACCTGTAAATTCATTAAGGGCAACACCAAAACCCTAAACAATACTGTCTGTGAAGAAATGCTGAAAAGCTGTGAGGATTCTTCAGTTGCCTTTTCTATAGGAATTTTCTTCTTTCTACTTTTGGTGTTCTGTGGAATTGGGTGTGTTTGGCACTGGAACCACCCTAACACAACTCGATTTACCTTGCCAAAATTTTTGCGAAGGAGAAGAAGCAGGAGAAATAACTATGCTAAAACACCCACCTTGAGTCCCCAAGTTATTGGCCCAAAACATAAAATCTCAGTTCAAACCCAGGATCACAAATCTGCTATGGGGGCAACCAACGTGCATGACAACTACGAAAATGTGAAAGCCAGTCTTCCAAAAGCTAAAGAAGAAACCGATAAGGAAATATATGAAAACACAAGGCAGTCCAATTTTGAGGAGCATATCTATGGAAATGAGACATCATCTGACTATTACAATTTCCAGAAGCCTGGTACTTCTGCAGCTCCACAAGATGAAGATATATATATTCTTCCAGACTCATATTAACTTTTAAAAATACTGGGTGTAAATATTGGAAGATAAATATTCACTGGGGCTTTTACTGTACTCATGTCATTGTTATCAAGTTCTTCTGATGAAATTCAATGATCTATCTTCTATCTCTATCCCTTTAAATCTTTTCTATGTGTATCATGTAGATTACTTCTAGATATCCTCTCCACAGTCTTTGACTCTGGATTAAATCTGTATTTATATTATATTGATTCTTCCTTCCAAATATTAATTGAATTTATCTCTTTCCTCCATTTTACCTCTAACAGCTTTTCCTGGCTCTGGATAAATAAACCTCTTAACTGGTCTTTCTGACTCTAATTTCTACCCATTCAATCAATTCCACATGATGCTGGTTTTAATCTTCACGAAATATCTCCAGTGACTACATTTACTCTTCTGCCTAAAATCTTTTAATGACTCTTCCTTGCAAAAGGCATAAAACTCATAATCCTAACTCCAAAATTCATGGTTTTCCACAATTTGGTATAATTTACTTTTCCAATTTTAATTTTCCCTAGCGATTCCTCCCTTCCCTACTTTCATCAGAATCATCTAAAGCTCCACCAAACTCAACTCTACAGTTTTGCCCTACTCCCCTCTCAAGCCTCTCAGAGCATAACTTCAACAAGTCTTCTGAATCATTTCCAGCCTACATTTACCTTTTTTTCTTTCCTAAATTCCAATAGTTGTCCTGTGTATTCAATTTCTTGGGCATTTAAACAGATCAATATTTGCTATCGTACATTATTATTAAATGTCATGTGAAAACATCTTAAATTCCCAGCTAGATAATAACGAACTGCCTCACATTCATATTTTTATCCTCAATGTCTAGACCATCTTATGAGACACTCAATACTTGTTGACTTGACATGAATTGAACTGTATATTTGCTAAGGAGTTTTGAGTAAAATTTAATAAATTCATTCATTACTCATCCATCCAAACAGTGTTTATTGATTACCTTCTATCTGTCTGTTGCTGTCCTGTGCACATGACCAGGATTGGATAGTGGAGCATAATAGTAAAAAGAGTAATTTGAATCCTGAACATGTACTGTCTAGCAGGGAAGAAAAATAATAAACAAATAAATTAACTAAACAAATACTACATTAGTTATTAAGTTATAATATCTCATCTGTAAACCCATCCTCTATAAACTGCTCTCACTTGCTTGGGGTGAACCTTGTGATAAACATTTTTTCCTATGCCAGGTGACTCCATGTTAGGCTTTGAATATTGTTTGTTGTTGTTGTTATGTGCCGTCGAGTCAACCCGACTCATAGCGACCCCTCCTTGGGTTTCCGAGGCAGTATCACTACGGAAGTAGGATTGCCC